TAGCAACAATCCATGACAGAAGTCCAGCATTTGGTTTCATGAATCTCTTCTGCCTTCATATTATGCCATCTTCTCCTGCTTATCTGGGTGCTTCAGCCTTACCTGACTAAATATTTTTCACGCCTATCTTAACATTATTAATACAACCTGATCGATGGGTAGTAACATCTTTGGTTATTCCTACCAGTGGGTCCTCAATTATCATGTGAACGTCGATACATAGGTTTAATTTAGAGTTCTTGGGGTTCTAGAGGTTACAGATAAGAGGAAACTGAGCATCACTGGTTTCTGAATCTCCTCTATAAAATGGTCTAAGACCTATCAAAAAAACCATAAAAATTAATAGACCCGTTTTCTACTAGTGTGCTTATGTAAGCCCTAGGGCGCATCCATCCGGAAGCACGAATTCATTGGCTATTCTTATGGTAAAGTCTCACGATAACTTATAACAATCAGTAGCGTCTGACTTCGTTTCGTTACACTAAGGGGTCACATGATAAATTATCGATACAGACGGAACGAAAATTTAAAAAATAACTGGATTCTTTAGATGTTTCCTCGTCGTCTCTATCTTTTCATCTAGGCCTGAAATATGAACAAATATACATATCGGAAAGATCATGCCTATCCAACAAATCGTACGGTTAGGAAAAACTTACTCGAATACGTGCATATACCTCCTGACGATGGAAAAACACTAAAAACATGAAGTGTTTTGTCAGCGTGAAATATACATAAAAAGGTATTTTAAAATTATTTGTTTTCTTTGTTCATGGTGCAAAATTGACGTGAAGAGAGAAATGAGGAAGTAATGGCGAGTTATTTATCGGGATATTATTTCACTTAGTTCAAAATCTGTAAATGGTGACACTTAGTTTTGTCCCTGATTCATAAATAATAAGCTTACGCAAAGTATGTGAGTGACCATCATAATACTTTCTCACTCAGAACAATTGTATTTTATACATAACCTAAGTACTTCGTTCTGCCGAAATGCACTAGTTTATACAATTGTGTTCTCTGTGCATTGTGGTCTTGTTAATTACTTACTTACGCCTGCTACTCCTAATGGAGCATAGGCCGCCAACCAGCATTCTCCGGCCCACTCTGCCGTGGGCCTTCTTTTATAGTTCCATCCTACTCCTGTTTATTTTTCTCATATCTGTCTCCGTTTCTCGGCGTAATGTGTTCTTTGGTCTTCCTCTTCTTCTCCTTCGGCATTGAGGAATCCATGTGAGGGCTTATCTTGTGACGCACTTGGGTGCTTTCCTCAATGTGTGTCCTATCCAATTCCAGTGCTTCTTCCTGATTTCTTCCTCCGCTGGAATCTGGTTTGTTCTCCCCCACAGTAGGTGGTTGCTAATAGTGTCCAGCCAACGAATCCGAAGTATTTTGCGTAAACAACTGTTCATAAACATCTGTAACTTCTGGATGATGGCTTTCGTAGTTCTTCAGGTTTCTGGCCCATACAGAACTGTCTTGACATTTGTATTAAAAATTGTGATCATGGTGTTGGTTGACAGTTGCTTTGAGTTCCAGATGTTCCTCAGTTGTAAATACGCTGCCGCTACGTCTGCGTTCAATGCCTCCGATGGAATGTTGTCTGGTCCTGCCGCTTTGCCACTCTTGATTTGTCTGATTGCCGTGCTGACTTCTTCAATGGTTGGTGGGCCAACATTGATTGTGAGGTCCGTGGGTGCTGCTTCGATGTCGGATGGGTTCAGTGGGGCTAGTCGATTCAAGAGTTCTTCGGAGTGTTTTGCCCACCTGTTTCGTTGTTCTTCAATGTTGGTGATTACCATGCCTTCCTCGCTTTTCACTGGTTGCTCCAGCTTGCGTTGATTTCCAGAGAGTTTTTTGTCGTGTCATACAGTTGTCTCATGCTTCCTTCTCCTTCAGCCTTTTCCGCCGTCGTCGTTAAAACTTCCACATATTTACGTTTGTCGGTTCTGATGCTCCTCTTCACGCGCTTGTTTACTTGTGTGTATTCAGCTTGTGCCTTGGCTTTTTCTGCTTTTGTTCGACTGGTATTGATTGCTGCTTTCTTGTTCCTCCTTTCTTGAATCTTATCCAGTGTATCAACAGTGATCCATTCCTTGTGATGTTGCTTCTTGTGGCCCAGGACCTCATGGCATGTTGAAGTGATTGCTTCTTTGATCCCCTTCCAGTTGCTCTCCATAGTAGTTCCTTCTCCATTGAGTAGATCATGAAAGGCCTCGAACTTATTGCTGAAGACTACCTTGAATTTGTTGAGATTGTCAGTATCCCGAAGAAAGGCTGTGTAGCGGTAAATAAAACCCCAAAATAAAAGGCTCTGTAAGTTTTCGACATTGGATGCTGGCAACATTAGTTTTAATGGACTCACCTAACAGAAGGCGCTCAGTCATGCATCCGCACCAGGTCACGAGTGGAAACGCCGTGCTCAACAACCCCTGCAATCACTAGCCAGATTAGATCAGACGATTCTCGATATATTGATAGCCTATCAAATATATCTTCGAATCTGCTCGCCTCTGTCTTTTGATTTCACTTGGTGGGTACGCTTTATATTAGGTGTTACTGATTCAAGCGTTGTCAAGCTCTGAATACCTGTTCCATCTTCAGCCGTATTGAACTTTTGTGATATTGTCCGCCCCGTTGTCCAGTACTTCTTGAGTTTTAATTTCATCTTGGCGACCAGCAAGTGATGATCTGATTCTATATCAGCTCCTCTCTTGGTTCTCACGTCCTCTATAGTCCTCCTGAACGTTTTGTTGATGCAAATATGGTCGATTTGGTTCTGCGTGGTGTGATCCGGTGAAGTCCACGTGGCTTTGTAAACGCGCTTATGTGTGAATATGGTGCCGCCCATGACCAGTTTATCGAAGGCACATAGGTTTAAAAACCTCTCACCATTTTCGTTCCTTTCTCCCAGTCTGTGTCGTCACATGATGTCTTCATAATCGATGTTGTCCATTCCAACCTTGGCATTGAAATCTCCTATCAAAATGGTCAGGTCCTTTGTTGGCATTTCTCGACGACTGACTGCAGCCTATTGTAGAATTGATCTTTAGCGTATTCATTGTAGTCGTTGGTAGGCGCATAGCATTGGATTACGTTTATTGTAATTCCCTCTTTCTTTGTTTTGAAGGAGGCTTTGATGATCCTTGGTAGCATTTTTTAGAGAGTTAGTTTTCTACAGGAGGGGGTCGCCAACCCCATGCCCAACCCTCCTCCTTTATCCGGGCTTGAAATTGGCAGTAGCTTCCGGAGGGACTCAAGGCGGAGTGGTGGTCTTGTTAGTCACATATGTATTTGTGTGGTTTTTCGAGTAAATCTAAATCAGGAACATATCGGATAAAAGTTGAGACCGATCGATCTTTATCTCTTTCGTTTGACATTCTATCAGAGTGTAGGTCGGCGATCGAATGGTTTTCTCCCCTCCTCAAGTGTTTTCAATCACAATCAAACTCACGCATCTGTTAGTCTCAAGGTTGAACTAAGTAGCCTATTGCATCATGTCCTCAAACTAGGTCGATGAAATTCCATCTTTCTGCATACTATTGGGCAAACAGATTGTCGAACTTGAAAGTTGCAGGACTAAGAAGGTAACCAATATGCCGTAGAACGCAAAAAACTAGAAAAAATGTGACTAAGACACCTCACCCAAAGTATCTTTTTAGATGTTCTGGGAGAAATCCATGGTTCTACCATAACATATCGATTCTCAGCAGTTGCGGTATACGTACGTAATCTGTCCCAGGAGGTCCATTTGACGCGTTAACTCAATTGTGAATAAGGCTAAATCAATTGCGAAATATAAATTCTACTCTTAATCTCATGGACTATACTTAGGCTAACCACATTTGGCAACGGTGATAAAAAAAGCCAATTACAAATTCTGTTGGAGTATTCTATTTCAGACACTCATGTGTTCAGGAAGGCTGTAAGAGTGATGATATGGTGAAAGGCTTCACAGACTACTCAAAGTCATCAAACATGACTTAGCACTTGTAGTTAGACAGATAACAACGAGTTAAAGACGAATGGTGTAAGTGATAAACAAACATATGAACACACGTACTAAAACAAAAATACTTGGGATTACAAGTGAACGGTTGACATGTAAGACATATCTGCACAAGCGATATAAAAGCGTCCAATTGTACGACATTTAACTACATCTTTTGCGTTGTACAAACTTCCTGTTTGTCAACATCACGTAGATCTACTCAAAAAACTACAAACGTAGTAAGAAAGACTACACTGTAATGTATGTAAAAGTTTTCTATGATATCACGCAATCAACAAATCGAAATGGTATGTTTCGCGAGCAGAGTTAACAATCAGTGTAAGCTCGTGGAGCATTTCTAAACATTCCTATTGCGTAAAAGCAAACCAAAAATGTACAATTACTAATTTTCGTAGAGAAAACGTGCAATTAGGCTACTAAAAGTCTGCTTTCTAGGTCCTCAGCCTCACTTAGTCTATTTTAAATTTATCTCCAGTTCCGCTTATTTAAGAGGTGCAGTTCCCGGATCACGATTCACAACCTTGAAGCGATCTTCAGAGAATGAGTCGATCCGTCAGTGTAAATAATCACGACGTAAACATACGTGTGCACTATACTGCAAGGCGAGTCGAGTAAAGAATGTCAGCTGATTAAATTCGATGGGAGCAGGTTTAACGAAACCAATAGATTTTTTAAGCCGAATCACCTAAGAGCTTAGATTCACATTCAGATAAAAATATAAAGGACCTAGAAGTTATGTCAGAAGTTAAATATTTGTATTGTAAGAAAGTCTGTCTGCAACGAATCCAGCGTTATCCTTCCCTTCACAACGTATTCGTCATGAAGCGAATATGAGTGTATTGGTCCTCTGAGACTTATTACCGAATGATTGTTACTGACAAGATGTTTTTAGTTATTGTGGGTTTATTTTCTAAACTACTGTAAAACTTTTCGCTCCAAAATATATTTAGCGCCAGGTTTGAAACTGGAAATATTAGGTTGGAGGTAAATGTCATCTAAATATCCTTCTGGGAAGAAAGGTAGCCGCATAAGCTTATGGTTTAAACGCGTTCTACCTGGTAAGAAAATATTTTCGACTTATTTTTTTAAGGGCTTAAGACAAATATATATATTGTTCTTTCGTTCTCACCACTATTTTTACATACATACTACGTTGTCTATTAATATTTTAACTTTTAAAACGACGCATTTTTCTTGTTATTGTTTTCCGTTTCCGCATGATTTACTTTACGTGAACGAGGTTATAGCTGGACGCCACTTTATTATCACAGATCCAGCTGGTTAGCAAGTCATTGGTGGACTCCCATTGTAAGTCAGAAAATGCACTACCAGAATCTGATAGTAAGCGAGAAACCCACCCTTGCGTGACTGAGAAGAAAAATCTAATATCATCGAATATTATTGTGAGCAAATTGCTGGAGTCAATCGACCCTGACACCAAAATTGGACACGCACATAATTTAGAGAAGCTGAGAGAATATATTCGTACTATCTTACCACATAACTCTAAGGGAGTTCAGGTCAAAAAAACTGGTTAGAATAGATAAGAGGACCGAGGAAAATGTTGAAACCCGACCATGCAGACTCCTTAAGGTAATCCTAGGATCGGCGAAGCAACGGGATCTCCTATTAAGTAGCGCTCGTTGTCACAACAATTCCAACGTCCGAGTTAGACCTGATATGTCTCTCAAAGATAGAATAAAAAGGGAAAAAAGCACTAGCTGAACTAGAAACCCATCGACAAAACGGTGAGGAAGATCTCCGGTTAGTGGGTTTTTGGATAGTCAGGTCTTGGAAGCGAATGCTACCAAGGCCTGTGTGGATAGGCTGTTCTACCTAGAAGTTTTATATGCCAACGCTCGTAGTATAAGTAATAAGTTCTATAAACTAGAAACATTAGTGGACAGATTAAGGCCACCCATTGTAGCAGTGACAGAAACTTGGTTAGTCCATGACTTGGACTTAGCTTAGCTGATGACTTTATTTTAAAGCACACTCATCTTTGGAGTACAAATACTAGATGCTTGATAATAGGAGACTTTAATGCACCTGATATTAGTTGGACTGAGATGACTACGGAAGGATCTATAAACTCCTTTGATAGTAGGTTCCTGATAACAGTAATGGAGCACGCATTAGTGCAGCATGTATCCAAACCCACACGTTTTGGTGCTAACCAAGGTTCTTCTCTGTTGGACTTGGTAATCACTCATGAGACTCAGGGTTGGTTGGGCCACGTGTTACGTACGCCCGAACACCAATTACCACGACATGCAATGCTAACTGGTGTTCGGGATGGTTGGAAGAAAGTTAGGGGCGGCCAAACCAAAACGTGGCATCAGTGCTTGAAGTCACTAACTTCTAGTCCGAGCCATGTTGGTAAATGCAAACCACTTGGTTGGGGTCCGCGTGACTATCGTAACCAATGGTTAGAGACTCTTGGTGACATGACTCAGAATCGATCACAATGGCGTCGGTGTATACACTCTCTGTCTTCCCTTAAACCGTGAGATTAAAATTACTTTATACCTTTCTTTCTACCAACTAATTATTTCTATATGTACTGTATCCTTATATGCAATCTTTCTTTTATATATTACCACCACTGAATTAACTACTTCTATGAATTTGATGTTCATCTTGTTATGCTAACGAGGTATGGCAACTTGGGTCGATGTATATATGTGCCTGGTCCTATGTTGTAGCTGACTGACTTACTGACGGACTCACGGTATTGTCGACCTAAATATTCTTCCACGGTTAGTGAATAGCGATCACGCTGTTTTGTCACTCACGTTTAGAACTAGGGACATGTTATACGATCAGGCTACACCCCGCCCAAATGTATGGAAAGCTAACATATCAGCCGCTCAGCAGTGCGCTGCTAAGACAGATTGGTTTGTAGATAATAGTATTTAAAGGTAAGTTTAGTTAGATCCTCGTTCATACCATACCTGGTATCGCGAAGACCGAATAACAGTCCACCATGGAGAACTAAAACAGTCAGGAAACGTCTTAGAAGAAAGGAGAAGCACTGGAATACGTTCATCTCTACTAGCTCAGAACAATACAGATCCAGTTATTGTACGATCAAGAATGCCTGTAAAGCGTTAATAAGTAAGACTAGACGATCATATGAAAAACCATTGGTTAGAGTTTCTAGATATAGTCCGAAACGGTCATTCTCGTATATAAAAAGGCGAACTCAGAGAAGCGATGGAATTCCATCATTTTTGATACAAGAAAATTCGTTAATCTTGGCAGAAAATGATACCGAAAAAGCTGAAGCCTCATCGGAGTGTTTTTTATCAGTAATGAGGAACGATTAACGATTCATTGTGATTGTGGCGGCTCGCTGATGGACCCTGTAGTCATTGAAAAGGTACTGTTTTAAGGCTACTTCTGCATCTCAAACCTGATAAGTCTAGTGTTCCTGATGATATTCATCCTAGGATTATGAAAGCCATATCGGATGTAATTGCTGAACCATTAGTGGTACTGTCTGACATGTCTCTGAGGCAGTCCAGACTGCCCGGAGACTGGAAAGACGCTATAATAAGTCCAGTGTATAAGGCTGGGAGTAGGGATTTAGTTAGTAACTATAGACCCGTTAGCCTAACTAGTGCAGTTGTAAAACTGATGGAAAAAATTATTCGGATATCTGTTATAAACTATGTTGAAGGGCATAATCTTTTCTCCAGGGAACAACATGGTTTTCGGAGAGACCTATCATGCTTGACAAATCTTCTCATTACAATAGAAGATTGGGCTACTGCAAAAGATCGGAATATTCCTGTGGATGTGATCTTCATAGATCTAAGTAAGGCCTTCGATAAGGTCTCCAACTCTGGTCTTAAACTGGAACGTTTTGGAATCCATTATACAGTCGTAGATTGGATAAGTAACTTTCTCCATGACAGGAGATAAAGGTTAAGGGTAAATGGGGCTCTCTCCTCGTGGGTACCTGTAAAAAGTAGAGTTCCCCAAGGTACAATCCTCGGTCCTCTTCTCTTTTTACTTTATGTAAATAAATTACAAACTGTAGCAAAATCATCCGTTCTACTCTTCGCTGATGACATATAAATTTGGAGACCCATACACAGTATGTCGGATAGGATATTATTACAGGACGATCTTAGATCATTGGCGGCATGGTTAGACAGGTGGTCACTAGAAGTAAATTCTAATAAGAGTGTGGTGATGCAGTTAAATAACTCTGATGAATCGTATGACTATACACTACGTGGATTCGTGCTACCCAAAGCAAGGAACTATAAAGATTTAGGAGTCATATTAAGCAATGATCTCAAAACCACTAGTCACTGTAAGGCTGCTGCTGCAAAAGGCTATAGGGTATTACGGTCTATTCGCAGGTCTTTCCAGTATTTAGATGATGAAATGTTTAGATTATTATACCCGATTTACGTGCGACCACATTTAGAATATGGGATTCAAGCAGCGAGTCCTTGTTTCACGTATGAAGCAGACAGACTGAGACACCTTAACTTATTTCTTTTATCTTACCGTAGAATACGGGGTGATCTAATATTGGCCTATCGTATACTGAATGATGACCTTGGTATTAACATGTCTTATCTTTTACTTTCGTCTAGGACTGATCATTTGAGAGGACATTCGAAGAAAGTTCAGAAACCGAGATCAAATCGTTTACGTCTGGAGTTTCGTTTCTCGCACCGAGTAGTGAATTACTGAAATTCCCTACCAGAACACGTAATACCAGCACCTGTTGATATATTCAAAACGAGATTGGACCTCCACAGTATTACAAACTGCAAGGAATAATATAAGTCGATAGACCTCCTATCCTTATTACTGAAAAGTTTCAATTGAAACCTGTTGAAGTTTCCCTCAGAATCCTTCAGTTTTCCAAACTAGTTATGGGGCTTCTATCTGTCTTTCGTTTCATGAGGGGCAGAGCAGAAAAAGTTTCAACTTCATATAATCTCGACAAATTCCTTTAAGACCCATCTACATACTTCTATCTTGACTACGAGTCAGTCTTCAGTAATAAGGATAGGAGGTCTATCGACCTATATTATTCCTTGCAGTTTGTGACACTGTGGAGGTCCAATCACGATTTGAGTATATCAACAAAAGGTGCTAATATCACGTGTTCTGGTAAGGAATTTCAGTAATTCACTACTCGGTGCGAGAAACGAAACTCCAAACGTAGACGATTTGATCTCGGTTTTCGAACTTCCTTCGAATGGCTTCGATATCTATTTATCCTCTCCATGCACTAACCAAAAGCGCAGTCTACTAATTCCAGTGGACCCAGACACGTAGTTACTTAATGCAAGATATACTTCAATTAGATGTTCGTCATTGATGTTCTGCTATCAACTAAAGTCTACTTGTTTATAAGAAAAATAGAGGACAAATTATGCCAGTTTTCATTGCGTTTGCAGCCAAGTTTGGCATCTGCGTAGTCTACAATAGTATGATTTGGAAAGTAACTATTCAAGGACTTTTCTGTACGTCAACCTAATCGCCTTAGAGATTCCGCATGTGTCTTTTCTCTAACCCATTACCAGTAAATCTAGGTCTCATTCCGAAGTAGGATTTTTAGTATACACACCTGTCTTACAAGTGTTACATGAACATTGGTAAATGCTTTCCTCTAAGTTCAGATTTTCCTATAACCCTTGGCTGCAAAGGGACAGCTGTTGGTCGTGGTCTCTAATTACTGGCTCGCTTTGACTTCTAAATCATTGTAAGAAGAACTAATTAAACATTCTCACCTGTTCGCTGCTCCTGGTGACAAACGTACCTGAATTCACAATGTCTCACATCAATTTACTAAATTGCCTATATTGATTTCCAAGATATTTTTATCTCTATCCTTTCCCACTTCTCACTATCCAAGTCATCAGTTTCTTTTTTAATCAATTTGCGAATAATACGAAAAATTTGTTTATCACTTCTTTGTACATTCTGCTTCGATGTCAGGTAAGACAAGTGACAGATAAACTTACGGTTGAAACACCATCAAAATAACAAGTGCTATTTATCGAATTAAAATCAGGCTTCCTTAGCGTATCAATATAAAATAACTCGTTTTTCATAATTAGAGCAAGTGGTTAGATGGATTTTGACAAGGTTGTTACTCAGAGGGTCAGTTTTCAATCACTAATTATGTATGTAAAGTAGATGCTTGTAATTTAATGGGAGGCATACATAGAACAAAGATAATAACTCTACAATCGTATTCGTGGTTAGACGTAAAAGGAAAAGTTAGCAAGTCATTCACATGTAACGTAGAGCCTGGGACATATACATCATTTCAAGTTGTATCATATTAGCACAGCGAGATAACACGATCAAGACAAATCGCAGAGCAACATGAGTAGTCACAGAGTTATTACTATTAAAAAAGCCTAGTTATAGAAAGGTGAAAATGTATAAGGAGATTTTGAGACTTAAGTTTTAAGGAAGAACAAAGATTAAATGTACCTACTACATTTTGACCGGTTCTGAATCGTTGATCGACGTTGCCAACCATTGGTTACGATAATTACACACCGAACAACATTGTCCTTCAAGATATGCAGCGGTTAGGCATAGTACGTGTTCCAACTATCTCAGTTAGTGAAGACTCACAACTTTATCGACCGATTTTCTATCCTTATCTCGTGTTCTATGCTTAACCTCATTGCTGCTTACTCGGTGTCCAAAAATACACCACAAGTGCCTCAAAGACACTAGCGATCAAGTATTAATAAACTGCCGATTTCTTGTGTTTTCAATGATACGTTTTCTTTCACACCCTTACAGCACGATGGGCCGAACAGCCGCTTAGTATACTCGTTCTTTTTCTGGCAGACGAACATCTCTCCTACGCTACAAGTGACGCAAGTTGTTAAAAATGAAGCGAAGTTTCATCACACACACCAATCTATTGGGGCTAATGTGACCTCCAAGACAAGTGAAGCCAATCAGCCAGCTACAACATAGGACCAGGCACATATATACATCGACCCAAGTTGCCATACCTCGTTAGCATAACAAGATGAACATCAAATTCATAGAAGTAGTTAATTCAGTGGTGGTAATATATAAAAGAAAGATTGCATATAAGGATACAGTACATATAGAAATAATTAGTTGGTAGAAAGAAAGGTATAAAGTAATTTTAATCTCACGGTTTAAGGGAAGACAGAGAGTGTATACACCGACGCCATTGTGATCGATTCTGAGTCATGTCACCAAGAGTCTCTAACCATTGGTTACGATAGTCACGCGGACCCCAACCAAGTGGTTTGCATTTACCAACATGGCTCGGACTAGAAGTTAGTGACTTCAAGCACTGATGCCACGTTTTGGTTTGGCCGCCCCTAACTTTCTTCCAACCATCCCGAACACCAGTTAGCATTGCATGTCGTGGTAATTGGTGTTCGGGCGTACGTAACACGTGGCCCAACCAACCCTGAGTCTCATGAGTGATTACCAAGTCCAACAGAGAAGAACCTTGGTTAGCACCAAAACGTGTGGGTTTGGATACATGCTGCACTAATGCGTGCTCCATTACTGTTATCAGGAACCTACTATCAAAGGAGTTTATAGATCCTTCCGTAGTCATCTCAGTCCAACTAATATCAGGTGCATTAAAGTCTCCTATTATCAAGCATCTAGTATTTGTACTCCAAAGATGAGTGTGCTTTAAAATAAAGTCATCAGCTAAGCTAAGTCCAAGTCATGGACTAACCAAGTTTCTGTCACTGCTACAATGGGTGGCCTTAATCTGTCCACTAATGTTTCTAGTTTATAGAACTTATTACTTATACTACGAGCGTTGGCATATAAAACTTCTAGGTAGAACAGCCTATCCACACAGGCCTTGGTAGCATTCGCTTCCAAGACCTGACTATCCAAAAACCCACTAACCGGAGATCTTCCTCACCGTTTTGTCGATGGGTTTCTAGTTCAGCTAGTGCTTTTTTCCCTTTTTATTCTATCTTTGAGAGACATATCAGGTCTAACTCGGACGTTGGAATTGTTGTGACAACGAGCGCTACTTAATAGGAGATCCCGTTGCTTCGCCGATCCTAGGATTACCTTAAGGAGTCTGCATGGTCGGGTTTCAACATTTTCCTCGGTCCTCTTATCTATTCTAACCAGTTTTTTTGACCTGAACTCCCTTAGAGTTATGTGGTAAGATAGTACGAATATATTCTCTCAGCTTCTCTAAATTATGTGCGTGTCCAATTTTGGTGTCAGGGTCGATTGACTCCAGCAATTTGCTCACAATAATATTCGATGATATTAGATTTTTCTTCTCATTCACGCCAGTGTGGGTTAGACTTTCGGCCATATTCGAACACCACTCCATTTACTCTGGTTTGGGCAACTGGCTAGTAGTATTATCATCCTTCACTATGAGTATGATTCAAACCCACGCGCCTGATGAATGAGTTTATCATATTTTGTTTATGAATCCGTAATTGTCGAATAGGTTGCATTTTTCGTGAATTTAATTACGAAACTTCGCTATCGTAGTAACTTGTGAATTGAATATAGTTATAACATTCATCTCAGTAATTATTTATATGAGTATTTTCGTGTTCAATTTACTCATTTGATTGCTTCGCAAATGGAACCATTTTCGAATACTTATTAAACCACGTAGTCTAAGTGGCTTATTACCATGTGATTCTCATGTTCTAACCTACAGCCCCAATAAGCGCTAGATAAAGAATATTCAGTTTCTGTTTTCTAGTATCTTTACTTCTTTTCAGATTCCCACCCACAAGCAAAAAAACGTAATGAGCTTACCTCATTTTCCGAAAATGAAACTGAATGCCCAGTTTGTTTGATGCCTATAGAAGATCCACTGCGACTTAGTTCATGCGGTCACTTCGCTTGTTCAGTTTGTTGGAGGAATTTCATCTCGTGTCAAATAGAAAACTTTGCACTGGCTCATCTCACATGTGTAGCGTGCTCAGAACTATTGCAGCCATCAACTGTGATTCATCTCTTGTCTGCTGTTTCGACTCGTTATGAGTCTTCACAAAGTCCCGTGAAAGATAATCAGTATGACCGCAGTTTATCTCGATATGAAGAATTTTACTCCAACAAGCAATGTCCTGTGAACCAGAAGCGAGATGGTGCCCAAGAGGTTGTGGGTAAGTGCTACATTTTTTACTGTTGAATCTAGCTATATTCTCCATAGAGATGATGGTTTTTCGTCCCCTCATTTTTAAAATTTACAATTCTGCATGAACACGTAAATATTAGCATAGTATGACATTCTCATTTTGAAACTATGGGTATTATGTGTAGTAGACTATGCACATTACTTGCACCTTCGTCTCTTTTTTTAATGGGGAAACTCATCAAATATGTCATTTTTTACATACTAATTGGTCGTTGATCAGAAGTTAAGGCTGCACTCGTTCACTGCTACGTTATAACTCAACAGTTTTCATTCTACTTATTCATTATGTTTGAATTTGGTCACTCTACTTCAGTCCAGATGGCCAAATAGTATATCTAGTTCATTAAATATGTAGCTCAGAGCATAGTTAATAGGTTTCCAGTTCGTTAGTCTCATACATCAAACTACCTATCACGGAAATAATTCTTTGTGACCAAAGGGAATCCAGTTCCTGGATTTAGTTTCCTCTATTTTAGGATGTCTTTAATGCTCACGTAACCACGACTTATTAACTTTAAAGATACTATTTCATCTCACATTAGCGAAAAAAGCGTCTCGGATATAATCCATTTAGGGATAGACGATTGTTTTTGGAATTCGAAACTTAAGTAGTTGAAAGCATTCGAAAAAAAGACAGTTTACATCTCATGAACTAGTATATTATGCAAAAATTAAGTCTGACAGTATCTTCCAATCGTTGATGTTTCAATGAACTTCTGATCATGTTTATTCTCATGTTAAATATTTTGTATATAAGTATATTATTTTTGCAGATAGAAAGCCTATTCCGGCTAGTGATCTTGTCTTTGCTATCAAATCATTCGGGAGTCGGTGTCAATGATTCGGCATGGTAATCATTTATCAGTCGATTGATTTATGATCCTTATTTATACATTAAAAAACACGAAATTCAGCAAAAGGATCGATTTTCAACTTATTATTAATCAGTATAATCGTATATATATACAATATTTGTGCAGTTGAAACACCATGTAAAATCAATAAGTTAACGTAGGACTGTAGCGAGAATGGAATAAAATTGGTAAAATGTCTTCGTCACAACAATTAATGGTCTTTATCACACCCACATTGCCACTGAGTCTATTATCGCTTGATCAGAACTCTGTTCATTCATTTTAATAGTCTTTAATTCACGAATTGTTCGTCGAACCGTAACGTAAATAGCGCAGACTAAAATATTCATTAACAACAGAAACAGTGTGAAACATTTACTTATATATCCGAATTGCAGCACATAGTATCATTCAGAGAAAAACTAATGGGAAAAAAGTAGTGACAACACTAGTGAGGATGTGGGAGACAATATACAGTGTTCGAAATAATAATTCTTTCGATATTATCAAAATGAAAATGTATATAAATCATTATAACTATATCTTACTAGTAATACATATAACTAGCCATCCATTTCCTATTAACTTCAACCGCTAACCATAAAGCCTGTGTTTTTGTCCATGGTTTTAATCAACATACAACATTTCTAACCACCTTAAGCCCTCAATCCCACCATCCATCCAGTTTACATAACACTTTGACGTAGTCGATAATTCGCTGTATGTATCACATCCTAATCATCTCAATAAAATGTTCACAATTTCTCTAACAAACTTACCTACTTTTAGTTGGTAATCGGTTCTCAATTCTATAATTGTACAATCTATGATCTCACCACACATGATTGAGTTAAAAGTCATTAATGACCCAGTATTTGTTACTGTCTACTCTCAACAATAATATTTTACATTCAATTAATAGAAAAGGAGCTCACAATCTTAGTCATTAGTATCATAGTGCATAAATAAATCCCCAAAGGATAAAACTCACACGAAAATATTAAAAGACAAACATCTGAAAAATTAAAAAGCTTTTGCTTTTACAAAATCAGATGGTCTATTTCTGTATACAATTTATCACTACATTTAATATTATCCTCATACAGTATAAAATAACCTCTCAAAATATGTATTATCCAATCCTTGAAGAGCCGATATACTTTCTGAACTTACTCTAACTTGATTGGCTCCCACATTTATTTATTGTGTCAAACATCTGTAACTGATAGATGTGGAATTATCTCTAAAAGGTTTATTGTTTTATAGTTTCAATTAGACATCTGTCTACCTAATTCGTATACTCAGCTCAGGACAGATGTATATACATATTTCAAGGTCCTAATTATGTCATATAACAGGCTTTGGAAAAGCTGTGAATAAAAAGAAAAATATTTTGTAGTTGTAGCAGTAGTAGGTATTTGAAGTGGTTCCATTTTATGTTTAATTAGTTCTTCATACTACCTGATATTTTATCATTTCAGTTATGGATTGATAGCACACTCCTTCCACGCCTGTCCACAAATTGTCTGTCTTCATCCAATGTGCGAAGGACGTTCGTTTTGTTTTAAATGTAGAAGACCTTGGTCCACTGATACAACAAATGAAAGTTCGTCAGATCAAGATAATGTTATACATATTTGTCCGGCTGAACAAGATATACGTAGTAATGCATTAGATGGACTGCGCTCTTTCTTTGGTATTCGGCGTTTTAGCAGGCAAATATCTGGTCAGAATTTAATAAGAAATGGCCCTCAACCAAAAGTTTCTGATAATATTTTACCAATACATTTAAATACCTCGACTTCTATGAAGGGGAAGCGTTCCCATGTACTGAGATCTTATCCCAGTTCTAACAACTACTCCAATGATACTCGATTATCTATGGAAGAACTATTTACAAACGTAGATCTTGAGAGTGCTAATACTACTGCTCCTGTTTCAAAGGAAAAGTAACTACCTTTTTAATTATGAATATCCATTTGAAAATTCATCCTCATTCGTTTTTTTATTTAGTTGCCTTTATTCTGATTTATGAATATATATGGTAGCAAAAACATTTAATCTGACAAATTGTTTATTATCATAAATTCTATCCTCACGAGTGGTTTTATAATTTCTTCTTTAGACATCCGATCTCTGAATATGATGTGGTTAACTCTTCTGAATCATCTCCCAAAATAAAGAGACGTCCTTCCGTAGATTCTAATGATCAAAGTGAGTTTTTAAAATAATAATCGCTTTATTCAATATTGTACGTTTAGTACAATTTTGGACTTTCAACATACAATGTTTTAGCAAGTTTCAATCTTCATAGACGTTAAATGCATATATAAAACAGGTAGACAAAATTACATTACAATGAAATCTTTATAAGAAAATAAGGATCTTCACAACGTTGAATAAACTGCAAATTCTAGAGTATCAGTTTTTGGTTAGTTGCGTAGTATATATGCTAAGTACGTATTGTACGGAGCCTGTGCACTTTTCACCTGCATAAACTCTTATATATCTACATCTTGTTCCGACAGAAGATATACAATTGGTGAGATGTGATTAGAATGAATGATTCATATTTAATTTTGCCATGGCATTTACAGTTAACTATACAAAATAATCACAAAATGCACCTGAAGGTTTTATAATTTCTTAAATTTCCCAAATCGTGAAATGTTTATTTCCAAAGTTAAGTAACTGTGCTTTTATTTTATTAATTATTCTACTAATTAAGAGGCTTGGGAATAGAGTCACTAATCATATGTAAGAATTAGTTATATAATGCACTAACTCCCGGCTAATTTATAGTTTTATTACCGTTCATTTCGACTTAGTTTTTCTTTAAAACTATGAAATGTACGTCTGTAAAATATATTCCTCTCGACACATAACCAAATAAATGTTGCATAAAAAATTCTTCTGACAAGTGCACATGATGATATTGTTGTAATAAATTCAATGTTGACTTAGTAGTGCTATGTGACATTAATCTCGCAAACGAAGTACAGGTTCGTACTTAGACTTCAACCATATTTTTATACGAGAACTTCAAAGATAAATATTGTCACATACTTACAGCTTACAAATGTCTTTCAAATTAAACTAATGCAAGTCATTGTGACTAAGAGAGAATTTGATCAAAGACTATCAAGATATGAATAAGTGAAATTTGTAGTTTCTTAGGTGAGTGTATTTCAGGAGCAATCAATTTAAGAGACAATAAAAGTTTATAAATACATCAAGTAGAAAAGAAGGCATAAAAATACAGAAAAGAAATTAGTCACTGTATGCAAATCATGAAAAAAATGATTGGTTCCAATAAAGCTATCAATAACACTTGATTCATCATATCATTTTCAGTCAAAAAACTAAACCTGTAACATTCACAGCAACTAATCAAACAAAAAATTAGTTGACTTGTCTATAACCAGTCAATTTAATTAAATCACTAAACAGCTGATTTTAATGTTGATCATCGTGACTCGTATAACCTTTTTTATCAGTGCATCCAAAACAGACATACAAGGAGGAATAACATATACAAGATAGATAGATGTGCGAATTTCAATTGAAGGCAATTGATTATACCAAATATCATCTGGGTTTTCTTTACTAATTAATGTTTTAGAGTGTGCTTTTTTTTACCGAGTGTTATTTATTTTTAACTAATTACATTCCAATCAACCAAATCAGTTTGGTATATGGACCATACAAAGCTTCATAAACATTTTATAGTATGTTATACTATATTTCAACGAGAATTTATGTGCCGTAAAGCTTTGCTGTCCTTTATTATTTCGATCAATACAGCTTAGCAGATCGGTTTGTCAATTGTTTACTTGACGTCAACAACTCATTTCATTTAAAGTAGGCGTGGATATATATATGCATGTTTGTATACATGTACTTACTACCAATCAATAGTAAAACAAAGTAGAACCTGGGTCTATAGTATGTTTATTCAGATTACCTCACTTCATAGCAATTTTACTCAGTCGTGCAATCGCTGCACCTAAATTCAACTTTCTCTTTACCCATATAATGGACAATATTCGATTTTGCCAGCTTAATAATAAAACTATTTCGATACCGTTTTGGTGTCATGCATTCCATTGTTTCTTTTCAACCTTTTATACACCCATTTTATTGGTAAACGTTTAATAGACATCTTAAGCTATTGAATGTAAACGTGTTTATTTCACATATATTGATCAGCCACTCAAGATTAAATGAATCTTATGAAAACCGATAGGATGGTAAATATATCGTACTCTGATAATCCTGTTTCAATTTTATTATTCAAATTACAATGTCATTTACCACTGCAATAATTTAAACCATAATAAGTAATATAAATAATGTGTCAAGAATGGTTGTCTTCTTACAACTAACTCAGTTCCTTTTTTGGATAATTTTAGAATATCTTAAAAATAATTAGGTATTTGAATAGATTTAAGGGATAACAGATTATTTTAGGGAAATAACCTAAAATAAAATAGTTCATGACTTTCGTTTATATTACATCTTTCATGCACTGAAACAGACTAAAAACATCTAGTGACTAACTTAATCATTAGTGATTAATTACAAACACCTTGACAAGTAGAAATCCATAACCTGCAAATATTTTTCGAATGAATCCAACAAATTGTCTAGAAAAAATTTAGTTAATCAGATATATTTGTGCGTGCGTTGAGGTTTGAAGACCTATGTACTAGTGTACTTCGTTGATCGATAGAAGTTATTGTTCATTGAACAATAAAACAGAACTGTCCTTTCTCAGACTTCAAATCACAATAACCTAAGTGAGCCGATGGTTATTAACTAACTCCCCTACATACTTACGCCTATTACCTGTAGTGGAGGAGCATAGGCCGCTCACCAGCATTCTCCATAGAAATCCGTCCTGGACAATCCTTCACAGTTGCCTCCAGTTGCTATTCATCCTTTTCGTGTCTGCTTTCGATTCCCGACGTAGTGTGTTCTTCGGCCCTCCACTTTTCCGTTTCCCTTCAGGGTTCCGAGTCAGGGCTTGCCTCGTAATGCAGTTCGATGATTTCTGCAAGGCATGTCCTGTCCACCTCCAACGTCTTTCCCTAATTTCCTATTCAGCTAGAAGCTGATTTGTTCTCTCCCACAGTAGGCTGTTTCTGATGCTATCCTGCCAACACATATTGAATATCTTGCGTAGATAACTGTTTATAAATAGTTGTACTATTTTGATGATGGTTGTGGTAGTTCTCCAAGTTTCAACTCCGCACAGTAGGACTGTCTTGACGTTCATATAGAAGATTCTGACTCTGATATTGGCTTGCATGCAGTTGTTTTGAGTTCCATATGTTCTTTAACTGTAGAAAGGCGGCCCTTGCTTTCACATCTGCATTAGACCTTCCTTGCTCATCGATGATGCTTCCCAGGTACGTGAATGCTCCCACCTCTTCCTGAGTTTCTTCATGAAGTGTGACTGGGTTGGTGCTTTCCGTGTTGTATTTGAGAATATTTCTCTTTCCCTTGTGTATGTTGAGGCCTACTGATGCAGAGGCTTCTGCTACACTGGTCGTCTTGACTTGCATTTGTTGGTGTGTATAGGATAGAGGGGCTAGGTCATCTGCGAAGTTGAAATCATCTAGTCGCATCCAACATATCCATCGTATTCCGTGCCTCTCCTGAGATGTGGAGTTCTTCATAATTCAGTCATTTATTTATGTGGATACATACATTGGCACAAGGGGGCGCGAAATACATATGCACCACACAATAACAATGGGGTTGTAAGAGGCAAAGAATGTAAAGTGCGTATAGTAAAAGAGAAACAACAAAGAACAGAAATTAGTGTATGAGGGTGAAATAATAATAACGATAATAATAATAGGAGAAACAGTTGAGTTAGCAAAAATATAACCAAAAATAATTCTTTCAATCAAAGAAGTTACGTTCATTTTTTATAAACTAAAGGGAAGTTACAGCAGAATCGCCACTGGCTTCTATTCTGAGCCATATCTGATAATGTCTCTAGCCACCCATGTTCAATACTCTAGTGGAGTACTACAAGTTCGCGTTCCATCTGTCGATTCGGAATGCCGGATTCAGGTACACCTAGTTGGGGACCCTGGGATATCTTCCTCTGGTTTTGCTGGTGTTGGTATCACACTGGGCGCCTGAGCAGGGGGAGTATTAATCGACTGAATCACTATTAACAGTTGTCTATGTGCTGTTAGATTAGAAGGCTCCATCAAAAAGAGAAAGAACTGGTTTGTGAAACGGTGTATTTTCGTTATTTCCACCTACGCACCAATTGATTGCAACCCGAATGCAATCAAGGATGAGTTCTACCATCAGTTGAATGATCTTAAGAAAGCGCAGATACTAACATATAAATATGAATTAGTTGGATTCAACTAAATAGACATCGTAACTTACATGTTTGGTCATGAGTACAGTGAAGTTAATTGATAAAGCAGGAAGTGCTATGACAATTGTGAGTGGAAGCAGGATTGGTGTACCTAACATTATACTACAAACAGTAACAACACGACGAAGTTTTGACCATCGGCTGCGACCCAATACAGTACAACCGGAAAAACTGGAAATGGTAAACACATAAAAATGAAGTAGTGGAATACAGTAATATGTAAAGTTATTAATCAAAAGTAGATGAACATATCTATAAGTAATCGTATGACGTGAAATTTACACAGTACTCAAAAGTAACAAGCCAAAGAAAAAAATTATCTGGTATTTCTTAGTCTTCGGTGGTTTTCAGTTGGTTTCAATGCCCATTAAAAACGGTCTTCAGACTAACTAATAGTAATACCTATTAGTACTGAAAACTAGCAAGTAGCCAAAGTGTATTAATTTTAATAAGCGAAACAAGTCACTCACTTTCTAATCGATTAAGACGTACCTGGTTGTTGAGACTAATTCTTATCCATCATATCACAGTATGAATTAAACTGAGGGGTATGTGAATTTGAATAATCTCATAATAATGAAACAAGAGTGACTCGTGGATTTGGCGAATTTCCTAGAACAGTAATTGTCAGAAAAGTTAAGTCAGTAGGACTATTACCTGGAAGTTAAGAAGACAAGGTAGGATCGGCAACTTAAACGGGACATTTATCTATAAATCGTTGGTTATATCTGTTTTACCACTACACTTAATAATAATAAGTGTGACTAACTCAGTCAGTTACCGAACAAAAATTCTTCGACTCAGGTTAACTTGCAGGCTACTGATACTACCTGTCTGCGTAAACGAAAGTAGGCAGTGAATGGTCGAAACATGAACCTCTGTATTTGGTAATCAAGTAGTTTAAATGCCAAAGCACCATTTTACAAGTACGCAAGAAAATGAAAGACAATATGAAAGTTCCAGGCGTCCGATTATACGTATTCGTTTAGTTTTGTAATGTTTTTAATATGACTTGGATTTATATAAGCGTTGAGGTAATATAATAAGCATTTTAATTTAAATAGTTTATACTCATAATTTTGTCAGTCAGTACCTTTTGGTATGTAACGAAATTTGACTCACTAGCCCTATATGCAAGTCCATATTTGATTGAAAAAATAAATAGCACTTAGTTATTTGAGGTAGACAGGTATATCTTTTTGGGAAACATAATCTTTATAGCCGAGTTTACCATAGATGTATTGATTTATATCCCATGGATAACACAAACAACCGGCACATTCTATAGTTGTCAAATGCTATTTAATACTTTAAAGATGGTTTGTGTGGTCTTCTAGCTTAACCGTAAAAGGACAGGTTTTTGATTTTTTTTTTCGCACATTTCGACTGTGTAGTGCTATGTCAACTCTTATGGCCGAACCCGAAGTATTCTATCTTCAGGGATTTAACGTTTCAGTATCTTTCAGCTTAGTTCATTTGTATATTTTCCCTTGAACACTTAGTGTGATCAGTTAGTTACCACCTCAGTTTCAATTCAGCTAGCTCAACAGGTTACTGTATCGAAGTAATACTTCGTGAAATCCATACTAAATCTGTCCACTGCTCTCTAGCTTTCAGTTCTATGTTTTTAAACTCATCAAACCTCCAGAAACTTAGTTAAATCTTGAATCCGTTCGATCGTGTAAGTAACCTTTAAGTATACATATGATGAGGGATGTTGTAATAGTCTGATTTAAGTGTGGTAAGTTGCAAAAGATATTACTGGTACTATGCAATGTCTTCTTTTTTTTAGTTTATTCACTTTTATTTTCTCTAGTATTTTGTTACTGTTTTATATTAACTTAGATTAGAAAGGTTCGCAGACGCTTGAAGTAATGTCATTAAAATAACATAAATTTTTATATGGATCATATTCTAAAGTTAAGGAAATATTAAGTTCACTACAGTTTATAATATACCTCTTTACACAGTATTTCTGGTTATTTACTCTGTGTTTAGAAATCTAGTTTGACATTCATAGGCGATAATTCATTAGTTAACGTTGATTGATCATCTATTAATTAGATTTCAGTTTTAGTTATGCTTAAATATCGGCAACTTTTATTCTGTAGGCTACAAAGAAAGCAGTTTAACAATAGTGTCATCTTTTTGATATTCATTCATTCTAAATTAATTATACCTCTATCTAGTCTGATACATAATGCTTATTACTTAATATCACTTGTATTTTATAGTGCTTCTCCATTAAATACATCTTAAACTTTTAATAAGATAAATATAAGATTTTGTGTATAACGTTCAGATAATGAAAGTTTAATCAACTGTCAGTCATTTCTCAGACGATAATTTTTACATTAAGCACGAACATCATCATTGAAATTTTGTCAACTCACTTAATATACCATTAACGTTATTAGTATACCAGAATATATATTTACAGCGAAACCTGTCTTCTAGTTTAATGGCTACGTTCATCTGTTATATGACGTGATGAAAAGGCGACATTAGATTCTTTTACTCATTGTGATTTTTATTCAACAGTACTCTCGTTTTAAATTCAATGTGATAATTACTTAGTTTAGTATTTGTTTTGTTTTTCAATGTGATATTTTATTCGGTACAACATACGATATTTTTGTATTAAATTAACATACACTATGCTCAGCATGGCATGTGCCCCCAAATGCCCTGGTACAGCCGAGAGTGGGGAGAGTCCGCTCTCCCTCTCGAAATGCTCTCATATGGCCAGGCGTATACAGCTTCTGCCAGGGAAGTCCTACTCATTGCCTTCTTGTGGTAGGGGTGTTGTTTACGAAATCGAGAGGACGAAAAGCGAACGTCTGGCGCTTTAACCGAGTTGGTGGACATGGAGGGTCCACCTAGGGGAGTTGAAAAACCCTAATTACAAACCAATGGTGTACATGGGCTTCAGTATCCTGAAGGAACAAATGGCGTACGAACCAATTTCTTGGTCACCGGCTACCATGGGACTGCATCTCCTTACGATGCTCCACTGTTTTGTGGACCAGACCTTTAGGTCGAAGGCTCCGGGTGTGGCCCCTAAGAAAACCACCTGCTTCGGTTTGGGCACCCGTGCAGTATCACAGCCCTCACACATATCAAATGAGATTTGTGTGTCACATATGTATTTGGTGCCTCTTTGTACCAATATCTATGTGTTAAAATAAATAAATAAATAGGCATGACATGTAGCATGGAATTTGTTATAATTTCTTATATATGCAATTTCATCCTAATTAATTATCAAATAGGTTTACAATCAATGTATAAACGAGCGTATTTTCAACTAGGGTCGTCGTCGTGTTTTGGGTTTAACAAATCTTCAATTGTACCGGTTTTGATGTTCTTACTTCCCGTCGTGGAAATTGCAGTTTTTCCTTGTTTTTACAAGTATAATTAATAAGTGATTCCGACATAACACAATCAGTGACGACCAGTTACAACAAATTGACGACGAGACATAACAATCTGTGCACATACAATGTCTTAAATCTAATAAAGCAACAGAGTATTAACCTCAAAAAGCTGAGATGAATTTGTTATCTAATATAAGCAGATTCGTTAATCTCTTTTTGTGTGTAGTATATAATAATTGTTGATCATTAATTTCTATATACACAATAAATCCACTCAAACGTTGTTTTTCAATTAGTTTGATTTCATTGTTTTCATTTTAGACTCCTTAGTGAAACCCTGTCCTAATTGTAAAACTCTCATACAAAAACTTAATGATGGAAGGTGTAATTCTATGGTATGCTCAATTTGTAATTATGAGTTTTGTTGGTTATGTTTACGGGAAACTACAGCAACTCATTATTTGAAGTACGTAAGCAATAATCCTTGGTCTTTTGATGAATATATATTGTTATAACGCCCGGTTTTCCTTGTCTACACAAATGGGACGTTAATTTGCCTTGGATGAATATCTACACTAGATTCCCTCCCAGTGTCTGTTCTACAGGACTTCAACACAACTCCCATCAAGAACACATGATTAGCCTGACTAGAACGTAAATATATTTCTACATCAAAAACCGTCAGCAAGCCTACACAATCCAATAATAATAAGGATGGGAGAATATATAATTCATCTAACACCTGTCAGACTACAAGTCTGAGTAAGTAAACAGCCAATCATTGTCATTCTCGCCCATATATATATGGTGGTGTTTATCGAGACAGACACTCAGAATGCGGAGAAGGCGAGAAAGCCAACTTCGATTTTGTCAAGTGTGACTCAATATTCATAACCAGACAAAAATAAGTTGCAGACACGTAATGAATAGGGTAAACAATTAATACACGTATGATCACATAAAAACAGTCGAGGCTAATAAGCGAATAATTAACGAGGTCGAAATGTGACTTGAAACAAATCAATAGATCGGTCTGTCCGGAAGCTAGAATGACCAATATAGGCTTGATATAGTACTAAACACTACTGCTGCAACACAAACCTGGAGACCAGCAAACGTTAAGCACTTACAATTGGTTGATCTCGGAATAGTGACCAACGTTACGTATATCAAGTCCTATTTAGTGCTGATCGAATTCTATCGATCAAGTCGCAACTTGGTCACTAGTTTGGGTTACTCGACATCGCATAAACTATTTCGACATATAAAATGGTGATTAGAGGTAGTCTATCTAAAACCCCTGGACCTAGGTTTCATACCATTTTTAACTCTTCAGCATGGTGTACCTGTAACTTTGAGGGTACTAATAATTCCTAGCGTATTCGATCCCGTATCATTCAGCTTCACAATCGTAGATATCTCAGTCCTACAGGAAGTCAGTCGCGGTCCGAAAATCTCAGCAATAGCATCACTGGTTATGAAGCTGCGTATTACGGTACTGGACTTACACGGAGGCATCAGCTTCCTTATTATTACAGGTACACCTTGCTGACGAGTACCAAATAGCACGAAACCTAAGTTCAGGGTTTCTTGTCGACTAACTCCAACCACCATAGTAATCGCCTAAATTAACAACTGTTCAACCCCAATTTACTCAGAGCAACGTAGGCGTTTATGAAAGTGAATAACATTAAATGGCCTCTAGTTTACCTAGTATGAAAAATTATTAATTGAATATGTTCCTAGTCAAGCAGTTAACCATGCGCAACGTATAACCTGGTACATATGTGCTTCTGTCCAAGTTGCTGCACCAAATCACCCCGAGACTCCAGAAGAATATAAGTAATGACAGTATTAGTTGTATTAGAAAAAGTTAAAGAATGAGGATATGACTCGAGAAAAGATAGTTTGATAAAAAGAAAACGAGTAAACAGACCTATGCCATCACGAATGGTTCTGAGCCATATCACCCAAAGATCCTAACCAAGTAGCCTTCACCTACCTTCATAACTTGGACGAACAGTCGATGACTTCATGAATTGATACCGCGTTTTGTCGTGGCACACAATAGATATCTCAATCGCCTTAGCATTGCGTTCTCTATCGTTTCAATATACTCTAATGCTTCGAAAGCATCTATAATAAAGTACTAGTAACCCACAAACATCCCCTAATTTTAAGGTCATGAGATAGCCATAAAGTAAAGATGGCAAAAGCGAAGTGAGGATTCTGAATCTATTGCGAAATTCCATCGGACACCAAGCCACGATGTCTGATGAGACTTCCAAGACAACTGAAGTGGTCGACGCATTCAACTATTTCACTCCATATCATTAGTTTAGGCGTTGACAAACATCCAGTCCTGAAGCGACATTTTCTATAAAAGGCCGGTTATTTGTGTTATCCATGGGATATAAATCAATACATCTATGGTAAACTCGGCTATAAAGATTATGTTTCCCAAAAAGATATACCTGTCTACCTCAAATAACTAAGTGCTATTTATTTTTTCAATCAAATATGGACTTGCATATAGGGCTAGTGAGTCAAATTTCGTTACATACCAAAAGGTACTGACTGACAAAATTATGAGTATAAACTATTTAAATTAAAATGCTTATTATATTACCTCAACGCTTATATAAATCCAAGTCATATTAAAAACATTACAAAACTAAACGAATACGTATAATCGGACGCCTGGAACTTTCATATTGTCTTTCATTTTCTTGCGTACTTGTAAAATGGTGCTTTGGCATTTAAACTACTTGATTACCAAATACAGAGGTTCATGTTTCGACCATTCACTGCCTACTTTCGTTTACGCAGACAGGTAGTATCAGTAGCCTGCAAGTTAACCTGAGTCGAAGAATTTTTGTTCGGTAACTGACTGAGTTAGTCACACTTATTATTATTAAGTGTAGTGGTAAAACAGATATAACCAACGATTTATAGATAAATGTCCCGTTTAAGTTGCCGATCCTACCTTGTCTTCTTAACTTCCAGGTAATAGTCCTACTGACTTAACTTTTCTGACAATTACTGTTCTAGGAAATTCGCCAAATCCACGAGTCACTCTTGTTTCATTATTATGAGATTATTCAAATTCACATACCCCTCAGTTTAATTCATACTGTGATATGATGGATAAGAATTAGTCTCAACAACCAGGTACGTCTTAATCGATTAGAAAGTGAGTGACTTGTTTCGCTTATTAAAATTAATACACTTTGGCTACTTGCTAGTTTTCAGTACTAATAGGTATTACTATTAGTTAGTCTGAAGACCGTTTTTAATGGGCATTGAAACCAACTGAAAACCACCGAAGACTAAGAAATACCAGATAATTTTTTTCTTTGGCTTGTTACTTTTGAGTACTGTGTAAATTTCACGTCATACGATTACTTATAGATATGTTCATCTACTTTTGATTAATAACTTTACATATTACTGTATTCCACTACTTCATTTTTATGTGTTTACCATTTCCAGTTTTTCCGGTTGTACTGTATTGGGTCGCAGCCGATGGTCAAAACTTCGTCGTGTTGTTACTGTTTGTAGTATAATGTTAGGTACACCAATCCTGCTTCCACTCACAATTGTCATAGCACTTCCTGCTTTATCAATTAACTTCACTGTACTCATGACCAAACATGTAAGTTACGATGTCTATTTAGTTGAATCCAACTAATTCATATTTATATGTTAGTATCTGCGCTTTCTTAAGATCATTCAACTGATGGTAGAACTCATCCTTGATTGCATTCGGGTTGCAATCAATTGGTGCGTAGGTGGAAATAACGAAAATACACCGTTTCACAAACCAGTTCTTTCTCTTTTTGATGGAGCCTTCTAATCTAACAGCACATAGACAACTGTTAATAGTGATTCAGTCGATTAATACTCCCCCTGCTCAGGCGCCCAGTGTGATACCAACACCAGCAAAACCAGAGGAAGATATCCCAGGGTCCCCAACTAGGTGTACCTGAATCCGGCATTCCGAATCGACAGATGGAACGCGAACTTGTAGTACTCCACTAGAGTATTGAACATGGGTGGCTAGAGACATTATCAGATATGGCTCAGAATAGAAGCCAGTGGCGATTCTGCTGTAACTTCCCTTTAGTTTATAAAAAATGAACGTAACTTCTTTGATTGAAAGAATTATTTTTGGTTATATTTTTGCTAACTCAACTGTTTCTCCTATTATTATTATCGTTATTATTATTTCACCCTCATACACTAATTTCTGTTCTTTGTTGTTTCTCTTTTACTATACGCACTTTACATTCTTTGCCTCTTACAACCCCATTGTTATTGTGTGGTGCATATGTATTTCGCGCCCCCTTGTGCCAATGTATGTATCCACATAAATAAATGACTGAATTATGAAGAACTCCACATCTCAGGAGAGGCACGGAATACGATGGATATGTTGGATGCGACTAGATGATTTCAACTTCGCAGATGACCTAGCCCCTCTATCCTATACACACCAACAAATGCAAGTCAAGACGACCAGTGTAGCAGAAGCCTCTGCATCAGTAGGCCTCAACATACACAAGGGAAAGAGAAATATTCTCAAATACAACACGGAAAGCACCAACCCAGTCACACTTCATGAAGAAACTCAGGAAGAGGTGGGAGCATTCACGTACCTGGGAAGCATCATCGATGAGCAAGGAAGGTCTAATGCAGATGTGAAAGCAAGGGCCGCCTTTCTACAGTTAAAGAACATATGGAACTCAAAACAACTGCATGCAAGCCAATATCAGAGTCAGAATCTTCTATATGAACGTCAAGACAGTCCTACTGTGCGGAGTTGAAACTTGGAGAACTACCACAACCATCATCAAAATAGTACAACTATTTATAAACAGTTATCTACGCAAGATATTCAATATGTGTTGGCAGGATAGCATCAGAAACAGCCTACTGTGGGAGAGAACAAATCAGCTTCTAGCTGAATAGGAAATTAGGGAAAGACGTTGGAGGTGGACAGGACATGCCTTGCAGAAATCATCGAACTGCATTACGAGGCAAGCCCTGACTCGGAACCCTGAAGGGAAACGGAAAAGTGGAGGGCCGAAGAACACACTACGTCGGGAATCGAAAGCAGACACGAAAAGGATGAATAGCAACTGGAGGCAACTGTGAAGGATTGTCCAGGACGGATTTCTATGGAGAATGCTGGTGAGCGGCCTATGCTCCTCCACTACAGGTAATAGGCGTAAGTTTCTAGAAATTCGTACTCAGCTCTATGATCCGAACTTCCGGCCAATCAGTAACTTGAGTTTATTTGAGACCTTTATCTGATCACTTTTGAACCACTACTGTAAACCTAGACGCACTGGACAACCGTTTCCTCCTAGGATTGGACTCTTTATCTGTATGGATCCATGATCCTGCACTTGAGTTTATTTAGACAATAAACGTTTTCTCTATCGATGAGGTGCTTTGTGAGCTGGTAACAAGAATAAAAGAGGATGGAAAAAAGGGAGAAGTAAAACAAGGCGAGACTAAATAAAACACTTGAATTAAATGGGTAATTTTTCAATGCCGAGTTAGCAGTGATGTCAAAGTCAGTCGATTTCTTCATGATTATTCACTGTCACTGTGAGACGGCTGAAATATTACCCGGGCCCTCAGACCGGACCATGTGGATTTATTAGACGGTTGCTCACTGAACGTTTATCTAGAGATTGATTCCATAACGCAGCAGGACCTTATGAGATGTGGCCTCATGGTGATTACTCGAAAAGTCAGTCCTATGCACTATCGATCTTTCAAGATTCTGAAGTCACTGCGCACCATTAGTTTGGAATTAAGGTTTTCAAACTTTCTTAGGTGGATCTTCCATATCCACCAACTTGGTCGTAGTTTGAAATAGAATGTGTATAAGGTGGCGTTTGGAAATGGACAGTAGGATACCCTAGACCTAAATTTCATGATATTTGACACATATTGGCAAGGTGTACCTTATGCTCTCTAGTGAGTTCAATACGGTATCAAGCAACGCCATAGTCAGTGATGTTACCACCGAGATTTTTGGATCGCGACTGACCTCCTTTAGGAATGTGTATATGTCGTTTGAGCGACTAGTTTGAAATCACTATTTTCTTATTATTGAAGAACTAATTCTTTGTTAAGAAATATACTTGAACAGATTTTCTCAGAAGTAATAGACAAGTTTAATACTGCATTGAAAATAAAAATTTTTGAGAAATCTTACGTTTTTTGTAGTTTCTCAACCAATAAGTCAATCATATTGCTCTTCACGTGTTTTCAAAAGTCTAATTTAGTCATACCGGCATTAAAAAGTATGCATACATTCATACAGCTATTGATTCCTGGTGTTTCTGTCTTAGCAATTTCACATAATATTTGTTTGATTGGCTAAAATCTCTAGTTGCGATCAATTTTCGTCTCAACTGCAATCAATCTGTGATTACCAGCACACTTTGCCGACAATTTTTACAAAACAACTTATGTTGACGAAGATTAGAAATACCATTTCCATGAATTTTTCGTATGTTTCTATGAAATGGAATGTTTCTTTTTCTTATCATCTATGTCACATCTAATTGCCATTGTTTGTTACTTGATTAGCGCTAATATTCTCCTAATACGATCTATTGTAGCGCCGATTTCAGCTCTTTAAGACAAAAATTCATACTAAGATTCTGTCTAAATATGCTCCGCCTTACTATCAATAGACAAAGCAAAGATGCTATTTACGCATAAGGTTTATATATTCAGCGAGTGTATGGCTCAATTTTTCCAGTACTACTATTCACACCTCAGAAAATCACCTTTTTCTGTTAATGTTGAAAATTTGCAATAAACGATGCCGTCTATATGACACTTTAATTCACGCCAAAAATATGTGATAATGGATGTTTTGACATCAAACTTGATTTCATAATTATCCTCACCAACCTCATAAAGAGGTGGAAGTGACTGTGCTTTATAGATATTCAGGTAACTTTAGTTTTCAGTGTATCTGCTGATTATTATTTCGTTTAGATATTTGATCTATAGAAATACTTTTCGCAACAAGCAACTTTATAACAGCATCAAATACTTGTCATTTATATTCATGGAGTCAAATTTCGAATGTATTCACATCTATTGCTCGATAGATAAAATCAGAGGAACAAATAGTGATGTAAATATCTGAAATTTCACAGGCTTTAGAACCGGATGATAAAATAAGTCCCGATGAACACGTCGTCATTTTTTCTACCAGCATTTTGTTAGATACGACGAACACTTGTAAATTTATTTAATATTTTAGAATTTTTTGTATAGTCTTAACGCGTATCTAACATATTAAGAAGTAAAATAGTTGCCTGATACTAAATCGTTAGTGGGTTGTGAATGTTTCAAACCTTTCCTGACAATAGCATTTACTTCTAATTATTCCATTAACGTGCTGACTAGTAGCAGAGACATTATGTTAGTAAATAGTATGGTTTGCCTCACTATTCCTATCAGAGTTAGTTCAATAAAAATATTTAAATCACTAAAGTTAGCATACCATAATCTTGGATTGCATAATTATCAGCCATGTGTAAGAGGAACCTTGTAAAATGTTAGGTGATTTTATCCAGTCTGTAGCAAAGTGGTTTATAGCGAAATATCTTTATATCTCCTTTACAGACGTTTTTTTTTATCTACTTTTATTGTTTTGTACACTAGACCTAAGAACCATTTCTTTGAATTGTGAAGACAAACTTCAACTAGTAATTTTTATCTACATTTGGTAGGTTAATTGGATGCTTCTTTCGAAATCCAAACATTTAAGACGGTTTGTTCTATTCTGGGTTGTAATCGCTGGTCTCATTGTGTTCCCAGTACTAACAGGTAAGTGCCATACTTTTGCCTTTAAGTTTTCTTCACTTGATCTTGGTTTAAATGAAACAACCCTCATTCTAGTCACATTAAGACAACAGATCTGCGGAGTACCTTTTTCTGGTCTACGTTTTGCGAAAGAATATCAGACTTTTTGTGTTTAGTCTTAAAATTACAGGAGTACATATGGTTTGCGACTGCAGATCGCGCGTTACAAAATATATCATACCACTGTGGTTACGTTCACTTTTGATTTTGCTTTCTATCTGTTCATGTTTGCAATCTAACTTGTCTCATAGTTTTATTTCCGTTGCTAAGCATACGTCATACATTTTATCTTGTGACAGCTTGAAGTGGTGCACTGCTATAGGATAGGCTATCTATCACTTCAATCGTTCAGTAAATTATTTGACTCAAAAAAAAAATAAAAGTTCATAATATTTTCTAATGCAAACTAAGAGTTGGTACGGTATCAAACTCAGAGACTATTTACATAGTTTTCAGGTATTTTTATTTCATTCTGTTTGCTAATCACATTAATCTAGTTTTGTAAAGATAATCGAAATATCCAAACCAAACCAAAATGGCCGTTCATTTCTCCATGCCTTTCATTTATTCATCAGCTTGCGATGAGAATTAACTCCGGCATATAATTTAAGAGATAAATCGTTACTGACTTTCATTTTTAAAACATCAATAAATCATGTTTGCTAAAAACCATTCTCAGAAATCATTCAATGTAAACGAATAACAATGAAGGTTTCTCAATTTCTACAAAGTGTATAATCAAAGAATGGGCGTTAAACTAATAAAATAAATCTGTTATATTAATCGTATGGCCCCGCGTTTTAATTCCAGTAATAAAATATGTATCCCTATTAACTTAGTATATTTACCTAGACTTAACTGTTGTGTAATGAATACGTTAACGATTATATGAGATGTTTAGTGAAAAAAGTCTTGAGATTATGTATACTTCAAGGATTCGGATGCGCAGGCAAACCATGCAAGCAAGATGGATATTAACCTGGGCCAGAATTGTTGAATTAGTTATAACTGGTTTTAAATGACCAAATAAATGATAAGATAGAGAAACATTACATATACATCGTTCACTTGGATATCTTCTTACTGTTATCAAAATATTACATTTTTCACCCTACTTGTCAGACGTTCTTCACATATCTTGTGTGTGATTTATTTATAAATACAGACTTTATTTTAGATCTGAATTCTATGAACAAGAATATGTAGCAGTATGCACCACATTTGTAGTGCATAGCGGCGTAATCGTAACAGTAATAATCCATCAGGTATATGTGATTAGTATTCTACGTTAATGCGTCATTCGTCGACCTCACCAAATTTATTGTATTGTTTGTAGTAGTCGCAGCAGCCATAGCTGGTAGAAAAACGTGCTGTCGAAATTCCGATCGCATAATAACCTTTGCATCTGATTTTTTATTTGTGATGGTGTTGTCATTAATTTGTATTTATTAAACAACCAGTTTGTCGACTGTCGATGAGACAGAGAAACTATCCTTGTAGATACTTAATTATGGAGTCCGTACCCCTTCTCGGGTTACTGCCAGTCCAAAGCCCGGGTAAACAAGGAGGGTTAGACATGGTGTCAGCAACTCCATACCATAAAAACAACCTTGTTAAAACAATGATAAACAGATTAAACAAAAAATAAACCATTCAAACCGTTCTGGAAGTTGAGTGATCTTCGTTTATAAGAATTATGACGCGTCATGATGAAAGCCGACATTCTTCAGAAGTCACGAGGCCAAAGCCCCTTCTAACCACCAGAGTAAGAATTAATATGGGTACATGGGACGTCCGGACAAAGTGGGAGACCGAGAGGATCGATCAAGTGGCTATGGAAATGAGGAGATACAACCTGGAGGTCCCAGGAATCAGTAAAACCCATTGGACCCAAGCTAGACAGAAAAGGATAGATTCAACAGAGGTGCTGCTTTACTCTGGTCAAGAAGAAAGTACTCCACACTCACGGAGTTGCTCTGATGCTGTCCAAAGAAGCACGCAAAGTACTTATAGGATGAGAATCTCATGGACCCAGGATCATCAAAGCATTCTTCACAACTAAGAACGAGGAAATCACAATGAATATTATCCAATGTCATGCACCCACCAATGATAGCAACGACGATGATAAAGATAAGTTTTACGAGAGGCTGAGATCGATCATAGAGAATTGCCCAGGAAAGGATCTGACAATCCTGATTGAAGATCGAAACGCCAAAGTTGGAATGGACAACAACGGTTATGAAGATATCATGGGACGGGATAAACTAGGAGAAAGGAACGAGAATGGGGAGATATTTGCAAATCAATGTGCATTCAACAAAATGGTTATAGGCGGCATAGTATTCTGACACAAAGCTACGTGGGTCTCACCGGATCACAATACAGAGAGTCAGATCGATCATATTTGCAACAGTAAAAAATTCGAAAAGTCGATGGAAGACGCGAGAACCAAGAGGTGCTGACATAGCTTCACATCATCACCAACTGGTGATTGCCAAGATCAAACTGAAGCTAAAGAACCAGTGAACAACTGGACAAACAGCACTACAAAGGTTCAATACAGCCGTCCTTCGAGATACTGACAAACTCAGTGAATTGAAGATACCTCTGAGCAACGGGTTCCAAGCCTTACAAGATCCTATTCACAGAAGCAAAGACTACTATGGAGGACAACTGCAAAGGGGTCAGAAGCACTAACTTCAACATGTTAGGAGGCTCTGGGCCGCAGCAAGCATCATCATAAAGAATAGATATCTATCGAAACCCTGGGTAAGATTCAAGAAAGGAAGAACAAGGGGATAGCAATTAACAACAGCCGAACAATAACAGAAGTCAGGTTACAAGTTGAATATATAGAAGCAAACAATATAGTGAAGAGGAGCATTACAGTCGTCAAGTAGAAATACGGGGAAAACCTAGCAGCGACAGCGGAAAAACGCTTCAAGAAAAGGAAATACGAGACAGCTATATGACACGACGAAGAAGCTGGGAAATGTAGTAATCCAGAGAGACCGGTCAAGGACAAAGAAGTTAAGTTGATCACTGAGATTCAAGAACAAAGGAACAGGTGGGCAGAGCATCTGAGGAATTCTTGAGTAGACCAATCCCATTGAACCAACCATACATCGAAGCAACACACGCAGAACTTCCTATCGATGTCACTCCACCAACAATCGAAGAAATCAGAATGATCATCATACATATCAATCGTGGGAAGGCAGTGGGACCTGACAGCATACCAGATGAATCACTGAAGTGAGACAGAATTAACTTCAAAAATGTTTGTTGAGGGCTAATTTCCTGTCTATCTGACTCCAATAAATGATATCCCGTTAACTGAGTATTTAAGGTAGGCTAAATCTCCTAGTAGAATTATGGATTTACTCGAGATTATTGAGAAGCCTGAACACCAGTTGTAGAGATATTTTATTGTTTAAGATAAATAAAATCCGCAAGCGTACAGCGAGCAAGCACACTGTGAAACCAGGAGTGTGTGTGTGTGTTAAAAATCCATATATATTTTCGAGTGTCAATCAAATGTGGATAAATTATTGATTATCTGTATGTTACAACCAATAGGAGAATAGATTAAGGTTGATGTGCAGACACGCGCTCAATCATACACACACCGAAATTAACATAGTGAATTAAGTGTCTGAATTACAGTGAGTAGATAAATGATACAATAGTTGAATTGGCTTGCTACATGCTCCACGATCACTGTAGAAAGAGTGGGCAGGAAGAACAAGTTCCGACAGACTGGAAAGAATGATACCTCATCCAGATGCCAAAGAAAGGGGATCTGAATAAATGTGAGAACTATAGAGCCTGCTTGAGCATCTGGGCTACCTGTTCCTGCCATCTAGATATTTCAACAAGTTATCTATCTTTGTTTGTTTTAATATATCATTATGTCTATTAATCGCACAACCTATACTGCTGCGTTTCTGAAAAATGTACAACCTTTCGTTATTAAAGTTACAAAAAGCTCAAAAAGAGAGAATATGGTTGCTGGCAATGTACAACGAAAAGAATGTACATCATTCCCATGTTCATTTACTGGACTGATAACATCTAGCTGGTGACCACTCAGTATTTATCGCGAGGACCGACCAAGAAGAAAGAAACGGAAACTTGTTGAAATACTTTGTGCTGAGAATTCTATATTGTACCAATAATATAATATTGAATAAAGCTATTAATAATAATAATAATAACACTACCGGCAAAAGTACTCAACAGAGTGTACCGATAAATCGCGACACTACGGATCATCGTTGAACAATCAGTTGAATAGAGCTCGTCACTATACATCAACCTCCTTGATTATCAGAAAGCATTTGAGTGTGGATAGGAGAACACCACGGAAACTTCCTCGACACCATAGAGTACCTGAGAAAATCGTCAATATCATACGGAATTCGTACGACGGGCTACACTGGAAAGCCGTGCATGGATGAGAGCCTTCATATGCATTCCGAGTAACGACCGAAGTCTGACAATGCTGCTTACTCCCCCTTCTCTTCTGGTGGTTGACTGGAGTGTGACATGGTGTCGTGGTATGAACGAAAGCTGCACAGGATTGACTACTGTTGGTCCTTCATGACTCCATGGTTGAGGTCCTAGAAATGGTGCAACACGGTGGCTAGAGACGTTGTGAGATATGGCTCAGAATAGAAGCCAGTGGCGATTCTGCTGTAACTTCCCTTTAGTTTATAAAAAATGAACGTAACTTCTTTGATTGAAAGAATTATTTTTGGTTATATTTTTGCTAACTCAACTGTTTCTCCTATTATTATTATCGTTATTATTATTTCACCCTCATACACTAATTTCTGTTCTTTGTTGTTTCTCTTTTACTATACGCACTTTACATTCTTTGCCTCTTACAACCCCATTGTTATTGTGTGGTGCATATGTATTTCGCGCCCCCTTGTGCCAATGTATGTATCCACATAAATAAATGACTGAATTATGAAGAACTCCACATCTCAGGAGAGGCACGGAATACGATGGATATGTTGGATGCGACTAGATGATTTCAACTTCGCAGATGACCTAGCCCCTCTATCCTATACACACCAACAAATGCAAGTCAAGACGACCAGTGTAGCAGAAGCCTCTGCATCAGTAGGCTTCAACATACACAAGGGAAAGAGAAATATTCTCAAATACAACACGGAAAGCACCAACCCAGTCACACTTCATGAAGAAACTCAGGAAGAGGTGGGAGCATTCACGTACCTGGGAAGCATCATCGATGGGCAAGGAAGGTCTAATGCAGATGTGAAAGCAAGGGCCGCCTTTCTACAGTTAAAGAACATATGGAACTCAAAACAACTGCATGCAAGCCAATATCAGAGTCAGAATCTTCTATATGAACGTCAAGACAGTCCTACTGTGCGGAGTTGAAACTTGGAGAACTACCACAACCATCATCAAAATAGTACAACTATTTATAAACAGTTATCTACGCAAGATATTCAATATGTGTTGGCAGGATAGCATCAGAAACAGCCTACTGTGGGAGAGAACAAATCAGCTTCTAGCTGAATAGGAAATTAGGGAAAGACGTTGGAGGTGGACAGGACATGCCTTGCAGAAATCATCGAACTGCATTACGAGGCAAGCCCTGACTCGGAACCCTGAAGGGAAACGGAAAAGTGGAGGGCCGAAGAACACACTACGTCGGGAATCGAAAGCAGACACGAAAAGGATGAATAGCAACTGGAGGCAACTGTGAAGGATTGTCCAGGACGGATTTCTATGGAGAATGCTGGTGAGCGGCCTATGCTCCCACACTAGGGGTAACATACGTATGCAAATAATTTTAGGGAGTCATATAGGATTTCAAGATCAGCTTTCAATGACATTTCTCGAGGTTGTTCCATTATTTTGTCTTGCAGGACTGAACTAGCAAGTTTAAATTTGATGGCTAAATATGTGACAAGATTAGCAAAGAAAAGCTTCTCTAACCTGGCAAACTATAGGATTGGACAAGTTGATTAATAAAAGAAATACTAAGAAGAATAAAACTTACGGACAAAGTATGGAAATAATTAAAGGATTATCTAGTGGCGCAATTAAGTATAATGTTTGTTTAGACATAACAAAGAAATATACAAATAGAAATAATAAAAATAATGTAATACTACAAAATAGAACAAACATAATACGCACCAATAAATCTTTTGCGAATGTTACCGTCATTACCATTGTTAATTAGCTATTACAGCTATGTATTATAACTGAAGTAAGCTCATTTCTCAAACCAACCCGAAAATCAATATGCGAGTCAATTGAATGATTATAGTTTATTATAAACCCAAGAATCGAGTTCCTGACCGCTTACTTCTCATCCTTGTAATTGCAAGTTGGAGGTTGTGTTTTGTGTGTTTTGATAGCGGATGCTAGTGGACCTCGCTCCTTATTAACAAATGAACTGATAAGTGCACATAAAGGTGACCGACCGGATAAAAGTTTCCCTTTACGCACGCACGGAAAATTTTATGGTTTGTAAATCTTAGAGAAAGTTTAGCTTCATGAAACGTCTCGTTTATAACTCCAGACAGATAATTCTTAAACAACAGGCTAAAATATCGGTGGTAAGATTTCTCACATGAATAGTCTGAGAAACATTTAAGTCCACCAGCGAAACTAGATAAGGATATTTCTATAGCCCAGAAAGTAGTCTCCGTTCTTGTTCCTCTCATAAAAGTGAGGAAAACTTTTAGGTGACTAGCATAAGAAATGTTTCCCAAATAGCAAACTATTCCCTTGAAATATTCAGACTCTATAAAGAATTGTTTAACTTCTTCAGACAAGCTTAAACTGTGAACTAGCAGGAAGTGCGACATGTTTACCATCGTCATACAAACAAACCTTCGAAAGATTTGATGATCGCAGTATTACAACCGATTGGTCATAATACCAAGGTCCAAGTACTAGAATTTCTATTGTCACAGTCTTATCCAAGAGTATACGACGTTTATAGTGCGACTCAGTAATCTTCCCAACCAGAAATAGTGAACCATTTTATTTCTTCAATGTCTTATGTTTAGTTATTGATAAGAAGTATTTATATAGGTTTTTGATCTTGTATACGATACCTAATTGGACCCAAATGTTTACCATTTTGTTTACATTTCAGCCGTAACTTTTGGCCTTTTAATTCCCGTTGTTTTGGGTTATGTGTATTTATACCTCCCAATTAGTTTGTTTCGATCCCTGATAAGAGATGAAAGTGATATTCTTTCAAAACCGACCGAACTAGAGAAACTACAATCAGTAAGCCCTAATCTGGAAAGCGAGTTCAAGGCAAAGAATGAGGATATCAGATCAAATGATGGAAGCTTTAGTGAATCTAAAATTGTCGTAGTAGACGAAACAGTGCCGATGGAACGTGATCAGACATTATAGGTGTTTTGTGAGAACAGCTTATCTCTCTTAGTCTTTCATTTGTTACCTTTTATTCAAACAGAATGATTTTCTCGTGTCTATTTAAATAAGTAAAAATACAAACTAATGCCACTTTTTATAATTCAAAGCCAAGGCTGTGATTTGTCGATTCTATATGAGTTTCTTCTTATTTTATCTGATTATTATATTCAAATCTGCTGTTTGTATGCTCCAATAATTTATTTTTTTTTGGTAAAAAGAAGATATACGTTGTTTCGAGTACCTTCATGTTGTGTTTACTTAAGGTCTGGACGTTCAGCAATTGCCAGATACATTTATCAATTAGTTATAGTAACCTTTATGCTACTTCAGGGAACGGATCTGTGTTGTAGGATATATCTATGGCTTAATAACGGTTACAACTAACTTTCTCTGATTATCGGATAATCTACATTTCGTAGATAATTTATGTATTTCTAATTCATAGAAAATATGTTCAAACACCGATGAATTACTTATCTCCTTCTTAAAATTATCAGCTACAAATAAGTTATTGTGCAAGCACAAACCAGAAAGTTCACAACACTTAGATCTCAGGTTTTAATTCGGTCAACAGCATGTTTGCAACCTCACAGCACTACTCACTTAATGTTTCCAACATATACGGACAATGCTTTAAAGACAATTATGATAACCTATGAATATCCGCTACTCTTAAAGCTAGGTTTCACAGCCGTAAAGAAAAATGAAGGACTTCTACGTAGGAAAATTTTCCCTTTGGTTAGCAGATGAACGTCTCATCTATGTAACTAGTGACAAGTTTACAAGAACAAAGCGAACTTTCTGAATCCGTGGCGAGTTTTTGTCAGATACCAATCGACTAAAGCTGATAAGAATTTACAGGTGAGGTCGCCGACGTGCCCAACGACTTCACTCCTTACAGCCACTTTAGGTGTTGGCACAAACCAGCCATGAACAAGTATCTCGTATTCATTGTAAAGGAGACGCGCCAAAAACACATTGTTAAGATTCCCAAAAGGATCTAGATTTTATCAGTCACTGGTCTTGAGCTTTGTTGAAAGTATGAGGATGGTTACCACTCCCTGGTCGCCCACGCCGTGCAAGGGTTTTCCTAGAAGTATCTGAAAAGGGAATTGGGTTAGAGGTGGCCTTAGTAACCTGAGAGTGTGACCACAGTGTCCGAGCGACAACTGCCTCAGGCCGGTCACACACGACGTTTTTGTGTTAGCTCCGTACTTGTTGAGACCTTACCACCGGAGACGAATACCCATAGGACAAGGTAGGGTGTGCACTTTTAGGGTTGACCTTTTCTAACCCCACCCTTCCTTTGTGGGAAGGTAGCACTACTGTAATGCTGGTTGTCTGGAGGAAAAACCTTACTACCTTCACACCTCTGTACAGTCAACAGTACGACCTCAAACCTTGGGTTCGCTGCTTTTAGTCTCTGTTCTTCAACTAACCTGCCTGGCACGATAGGACCTTGAAGAACGATTGTTCCGGCTAGTATAGTCCTATTGGATCATCACGACAGGCAAGCCCGACCACCACGCCAAGGTAGCAGCAACAGTCAGGAAATGCCCGGAAGTAGATAGTTGGAGAGTGGTCGAGGGCCATCTAAAATGTTTTCTGGGATGTTCCGCCCACTGTTTCAATCGTCTAGGTTGAGAGAGGATCATGATCCCACTATTCTTGGAAAGTTTTGTCAAAACCTAGCTTTCTGAAAACTGTCCCTTTGATAAATTGGAACAGTTGTCTAATCTTACCTATCTCCGACGCTTTTTTCCATCTCTTGATTACTCACCATTACTTACAATCACTGGACAGACTTCTTGTGATTTTACGTCTAAATTGTATTGCTTTCACAGTGTTCGAAGCCTGATGTGATGAATTTCCGACCGTTCAAAAATTCCAGCGAACATGGAAATCCACTCGTCTTTCCTTACTTTTCGGTTTAATTCAATGACAGAGATCACTGTTGTTTTCGCAGTAGGTGGCTGTAAAGAATCTAACTGAATAAATAAATACACAAAATATTTCATGTTGACCACGTTAGTCCCAATGAACAGGACGAACAGAAGGCTGGTTAGTCACTTGGTGCTTCACCGCATATACATACTCCTCGTATATGCTACCCACTTTCGTGGTATTATTCCTGAAATCTATGAGATTCATTAGTGTTTACAAAAAAAATATCTCTGAGCAATTAAAGTGTTTGCAGAAGTTCACAAGTATGGGCACGACTTTTATGTAGTTGAAAGATGTATTAAGGCCGGACACTAAATCTGAGACGGGAATTAACTAAATAAAGCAATAGTTTTAATGAACATCTATGATATAAACTGAGTCACCTTACAAAATATAGTGTGAACCTAGACATTATAGTTAGGATTAATATTCCCAATATCTCGAGGAAAGCGCAAAATGCCAGCAGTACAACCAAAACCAAGGTACTAATATTATATCCCCAAACTTTGAAAACAATGAAACTTACTGCTCTGAACCACTACTTTTGGCCCTGATCTTGACTTTTCGTCACGCAGTACCTTTGTTGTCTCTCCAAGTTTGATCTTTAAAAACATTTTTATTTCAAAGCAGAATATGTGCTCCTTCTGCATGGGACAGCTAGTGGATACGGAGGACCCACTTAGAAGAGTTGGAAAACCCTAATTCCAAATCAATGGTGTACATGGGCTCCAGGGTCCTAAGGAAACAAATGGTGTATGAACCTATTGTTAGTCACCGGATACCATTGGACTGTATCTCCTGACGTTGCTCCACTCCCTTGTGGATTAGACCTTTAGGTCAAAGGCTCGGGGTGTGGCCCTCTGAGGAAATCACCTGCTTCGGTTCGGGCACCCGAGAAGTATCCCGGCCCTCACATAAATCCAATGAATCATGTGGCGCATATCTGTTTGGTGACTCCTTGTACCAATGTTTGTGTTTAAATAAAATAAGAAAGCACGAGCTGGCAAACAGGAAATAAAAAGAAACATTTTCCCAACCCATTATTACAATGTTTAGTCTACTCGCAATACATAGCTTCAAAGCCCACTGATAAAGTGAGTATAGCCGCATAGTTGTTGACGGACCACAAGCCCAAGCGTTTTTAACTTTCGCACCTAGAAGTGATGGGTTATGGTACCATCAGGTAAAATTCTGCATACGAAAGCTAGAGCTATACAGGAGAAAATTCGGAAGGTCACGATCAACTCCAGAGATTATATACTTTAAGTTTAAACGCTTTTAATAAAGCTGCACAACCTAATACAGTTGACAATGAATTAAGGATGGTCGATACAGAACCAGTTATCTCTGGTATTTCAGAAAGTAAAAATCAGAGCTCGCCACAAATTGCTAATTAGCTTTGAACTTATTTCGGCAGGGAGACATGACAGTTTATCACTGAACATCTTTTAGTTTGTCAACTTGTATAAAATTAAGAGGATTATATGTAGACTCATATAGGTATGAATCTAACAATGCCATATTGAATGAGACTAGTTATCAACAATTTGCACCAAAAATCAAAGAGATGGGGGGATTTTAGTTACGATTAGTGAGAACTCGAAGTTATATAGGCTGACCATTATATTTATTGGTGCCTTTTACGGAGAAACTGGTACATCATCACACTCATGTTCTTCATGCCTTCGAAACGGACGCTTGTGATTTGGCTTGCTGTTTTGCTCGTAATGCTTCAGCGTCTCTAGAGCATACAATATAACTAGATAACATTCCTACCTCAAACGTCTTTCTTCTAAAGTTAATCCCTTATTCCCATCCTTTTGACTACTAGTTTTAGACTTTCGTTGTTCACTCTGTTTTTTAAATTTTTCTCCCTAGCTAAATCTCTTTGGTTTCCGCCTACACAAAATCGAGAAATTAGTAACAAGTCGACCTACGCGTCATATGGACGACGATTACGACCCAATTCGAAATGAATTCAAATTCGCAACGACCTTGAGAGACTCGAAAAAGATTCAGATTGTGTAGTAAGGACATAAGGCTCACGGCCTATGTTATTCCTTTCCTAGAATGCTTCTATAAGTGTCTACTCTTCTATTGAATGACTCAACTGAATGTGTGGACACCACTGTTTCGGGCAACAGGTTCCAAGAATTGACGACTCGGTGTGAAAACCTGTATGCCAAAGGCATTTTGTTCATTCTTGGTTTTTCTACTCACCTACTATGTCCTCTGAGATTTTCCGATCTATTGAGGAGGAAAAGAGAGGATTACAGGCACTTCGGGAGGATCTGACTCGACTTCAAAGTTCGGCAGACGATAACGGACTTTTCCATACACATTGTTCCTTTTATTATCTTAAAGAGAGCAAGGACAAAGACTGTTGCAGAATAATATGAATTCATTATATTCGTTAGGTTCTCATCAGCTGCTTACAACCTAAATTATTTGACATACAAAATCATTACAGATATTGACATATTTATACATAAGAGTGTGATTAAGGATGAATACATGTGTATCATGATATAGCGAAGATTCAGATAGAGTTGATGAGGTCATAAAGTGTTTGATTCGAATGATTAAATAAAGTATGAGGGGGAAAGTTCCAGAACATTGAAATCGTGATTAGAACTCATGAAAATAGATTAATGGTAATAAAGAAAATATGAATTGAAATCAGTCAGTTATGTATGATGTAATTTAAAAGAGTTAGAGTAATGACGCAATAAATAAATAGAGAAATAAATGAATAAGAAAGGGGGTTATTGTTACCAGGGTAAAGAAAGAGTTATTACTGTCTCTTTTTGTATACATAGATCTGGTTTTAAACGTTTGATTGCTATTGCTTCGGCAAATTTCAAAAGGTTTGAATTTGATTGTTTGTTGATCACCTTGAAGGACTTCAGTATATCGACTTCATGTCCTGTGTCAAGGAGATGTCTTGTGATGGCACTGCTGGATGCTTTTAATCCATTTAATCTTAAACTTTCCGGAATATGTTCTTTGAATCGGACGTAGGCTCTCTTTTCTAT